CGCTCTTCCCAGGAGCTGGGGCACCGCGCTCCTGGGGACCACGTCCCGCCTGGCTGTGGAGGCTGACTCAGCATCGCCTGCTCCAAAGGGGGCCCCCAGGAGCCCTAGGAAAGGCGGCCTGTTGTCTGCCCCGGGCCGGCAACAACCTCCCCCACCGCCTCGGGCCGTCCCGCCGCAGGGTCGGTGGCAGAAGTCGGGCACAGCAAGGGCAGAGGATGCCCGGGTCTGGCAGCCCCCCGACTCACGGCAGTGGAGCTCGTCACTGTGGTCGGTGCAGTCAGCCCAGCCGTCACAGCGCAGCTCCTCCTGGATACACCGCCCTGTGTTACACATGAACCTGCCCGGGCACGCTGCAGAGAGACAGGGCAGGCCTCAAGTCCACGACCCCCAGCCCCGCCTCCAGCTCAGAGGAGCGAGACTGCAGCTGGGGGTCTCCAGGCCCGCTGAGCTGTGACAAGGGGCTTCCTACAGCTAGCGGGCGAGGGCTAGTCGAGGTCCCTCCCGCCCCCCCATGACCAAACCCCGGGAAGCCCCGGGCAGAGTGGAGAGAGGCTGGCGGGTGCACACGCAGTTCTACTGCCCCGTGTCCTTGGTCAGCCACATCCCCGAGCGCCAGGCTCCCCGTCGGCAAGTCGGAGCGGCAGCAGCTCTGCAGACGGCTGATGTGTCCCACCCTAGTGTCACATGGCATCACCGGCTTTCCTTAATTCTAAGACATTTTCCACATTCCGATGTTTCTGAAATTGGAATGTGTCTGACAACTGATGTCATCAGGCAGATGACAAAATGGAGAGGAGGCCGTTGTCACTTTCTCTGCACAGGTAGCTTAGTCACTTAACAAAGCGGTTTGTTCATCTAATTACACTTCTGGCGGTGAGTCGTGTAGTCGAATTTGAACTTAAATTTGGACGTTTGTGTGCAGTAAAAGTGACTCTTCCAAAAGGTTATTCTACGATGCAGGGTTGAAACAAAAAAATCACCATGGACATGGAAGAACCGGTATCCACAGCGGACAGTGAAATTAAAGGTCACGGAAACTGCCAGACCTCCTCCGTAGAGGTCACATAATTTTCAAAGCTAGGAGTAGTTAGTGTGATGATTCATGCCCCAGTATGTTCTAATGTGTCTCAAAAGCATGCTGTTAATCCTATAGGTGCTCAAAGACACACAGAGACAAGCACAGATTCTCAAAGTGATGCAGAACCAAAGGGACAATAGATCAAAGGAACTCGGGGGTGCTCGGCCTGAGATGCCGCACCCAGGGACCAAAGGACATGGCGTGTGCCGGCATTCACTGTCGGCCTTTTTTCACAAGTGCATCTAAGGTAGCCTTTTTCTTCCCCGCAGAAAGCTACTAGAGCAACTGATAATGCATCCTACCGGCTCCGATGGCCTAGAGTCAGGAGAGCACAGTGCTAATAAAATGCAGAACAGAGAGCTCGTCGTGGGCCCGCCCTCCAGCCAGGCCCCGCCTCCCGAGCGTGTCACTCACGGTCACTGGCGTCATAGGACAGGTACTCGGCCAGGAACCCGGTGTCCGTGTAGGACTGGTCCGAGTGGAAGTGGACGGTGATCTTGCTGCTGCCGCTGCTCACGACAAACTGGGGCCTCTCTCCACAGTACCTGGGGGCGGCAGGGGGCTCAGCGGGAGGAAGAGGACCCGCCCTGGGGCTGGGGCAGCCCCCCTCCCCCTCCCCCGACACCCACCTCTCCCCATTGATCTCCACGTAGTCCTTGGAGCAGGAGCCCAGGGGGACGTTGGGCTCCAGCAAGAAGAAGGCTTTGAAGTGCACCTTCACGTTTTGGTTGCCGGGCACCTGGGGAGAGAGATGCTGCTGACCCTCTGTGCGGCTTCGCTCCTTCCTAAGTCCGGGGTGGCCCGTGGCGGCCACGGGGCCAGGACCACGGCGGGAGAACGGCTGCCGGGTTCTTCCCTCCGGCCCACGGGGGCAGTAAGGACGTGGCAGGAGGGATCCGGGCTCCATGCCTGATAGAACTTCCAGACTTGCAAACAGCGAGACACACTATTACGTTACTAAGGAAGGCTGGAAAGTCCTCCCCCATCATCGACTGGACGGTGTGAGGTGCCCCGTCGGCAAGATGCCTGTCTCCTGCCGTCCAGCAAGCGCGTCCTCTGAGTGTCACTCAGCCTTTGGCCTCATCCCAACAGCTCCTCTAAGTGGCCGGCGCCCCTGCTCTCACGTCGCCCAGAGCGAGCCACGGCCGGAGAGGGAAGTCCCGGGCCCAGGTCCCTCCGTCACATCAGGCGCCGGCCAGGAGGCAGGTGTGAGCCCGGATCTGCTGGATGCTGCCCGAACCTGCCCCGCCCGCGGCCTCCATACTTGCACCTTAGGGGAGGCCGGAGGCACTCATCGTGCTCTCCCCTGCCGCCCTGGAGCATCCCTCCCCCTCCCTCTGCCTCCCTGTCCCTTGTCCCCCACCGCCTTCTCTAGCCGCCTCCACCCCCGCATCACAGCTCCTACCTCGATGTTCCAGGTGCAGTTGATGTTGGGCGGGTAGTGGCCTGGATAGTAGGGGCTGCTAAATGTGCCCTGGGCTGCATGCAAGTCGCCTCCACAGTCTGAAAGGAAGGGGAGGGGGGAGGGCGTGAGGACCACGGACCCAGGCAGGCCGAGAGCCCTGAGGAGCTGGCCAGCCTCCCTCAAGCTCCTGCCCGGGCACCCAGACACTCCACGACCAGGAGAGCCTGAGCATCAAAATGTGGTCCTGAGGCTTGTCCCCTCCTGGGCTGCCCCTTACTGCTCATCCGAGGCAGCTGGAAGACCATGGCCTCGAAGCCGGGGTGTCGGCGCTCGGTGTTGGTCACCAGCGTGACGAGCAGGACGTTCTGGGAGGAGAGGAGGGTCAGGTTGTAGGAGGGAGGGTATGTGCCACACAGCCTGCGGGGCAGAGGGGCGCGCGTTACGGGGCACAGAACCCAGCAGAAGGGCCCGGGGCGGGGTCCCAAGCCCTCCCCACACAGGCAACCAGCCACCTGGGTAAGGATCTCCTCAAAAGACTGTCTCTGTTTACAACAGCAAGAACTCAGAAACACTGAATGCCTAACAGTAGAGGACTCATTAAACACACTATGGACCAAATAATAGCAGCAACGTCAGTAGTAACAGCATCAACTACCAACACTTATTAGGAACACGCCAGGTACTGTCCTGAGTGCTTCTGCATCCATTAACTCAGGGATTCGTCACAACCACCATTAAATACTATTGTCCCCATTTTACAGATAAGGAAACAGAGGCAAAACAGGTGAAGTAACTTACCCAAGACTGCACAGTTAATAAGTGGCAGGACTAAACGAAAAGACAACGCATAGGATGGGAGAAAATATTTGCAAACGATGTGACCAACAAGGGACTAATCTCCAAAATATATAAATACAAACAGCTCATGCAGCTCAATATCAAAAAAACCAAACAACCCAATGAAAAAATGGGCAGAAGATCTAAATAGACATTTCTCCAAAGAAGACATATGGATGGCCAAGAAGCATATGAAAGGATGCTCAACATCGATAATCATTAGAGAAATGCACATCAAAACTACAATGAGCTATCACCTCACACCAGTCAGAATGGCCATCATCAAAAAGTCTACAAACAAGAAATGCTGGAGAGGGTGTGGAGAAAAGGGAATCGTCCTGCACTGCTGGTGGGAATGTAAACTGGTGCAGCCACTATGGAGAACAGTATGGAGGCTCCTCAAAAAACTAAAAATCGAGCTGCCATATGATCCAGCAATCCCACTCCTGGGCATATATCCGGAGAACACCATAATTCAAAAAGATATATGCACCCCAATGTTCACTGCGGCACTATTTACAATAGCCAGGACATGGAAGCAACCTAAATGCCCATCGACAGATAAATGGATAAAGAAGATGTGGTACATATAAACAATGGGATATTACTCAGCCATAAAAAGGAATGAAATAATGCCATTTGCAGCAACATGGATCGACCTAGAGATTATCATACTAAGTGAAGAAAGAGAAAGATAAATATCATACGATATCACCTATATGTGGAACCTAAAAAAAAAATGATACAAACGAACTTATTTACAAAACAGAAACAGACTCACATACATAGAAAACAAACATGGCTACCAAAGGGGGAAGGGGAGGAGGGATATATTAAGAGGTTGGGATTGACATACACACACTACTCTATATGAAACAGATGATCAACAAGGACCTACTGTATAGCACCGGGAACTCTACTCAATACTCTGAAATAATCTATATGGGAAAATAATCTGAAAAAGAATAGACATAAGTATATGTATAACTGAATCACTTTGCTGTACACCTGACACTAACACAACACTGTAAATCAACTATACTCCAGTATAAAATTTAAAAATAAAGTTAAAATAAAGTTTAAAATTTTTTAAAATTTAAGAGTCAATAAATAAAGAAATGGAGAAAAGAAATCTCCCCCCCCTCAAAAAAAAAAAACGGTGGTCCACTTCACTGGACCACCAGGGGAGCGTCAGGGGACTTCCCTGGTGGTCCTGTGGTTAAGACTCCGTGCTTCCAGTGCAGGGGGCATGGGTTCAATCCCTGGTTGGGGAACTAAGATCCCACATGCTGTGTGGTGCAGCCAAAAAAAAAAAAAGAAAAAGAAAAAAGAAAAAAATGTGGCAGGCCTGAAATTCAGACTCAGCACTCAGGCTCCAGAGGCCTCAGGGCCAAAGAGCATGTCATGTGCGCTAACCAACGCTACAGCCTGCAGCCATTACCAGTGACAGTCAGAGACACACTACTCACCTGGGAAGATGATCCTAACATACGCCATCTTTACAAAGCACATAACAAAACCACGTGTGCCATATAATCCTTTTTTTTAAAATAAATACACAAACCTACACATAGCAAAAAATTCTATAAGAATGTGCAACACACATTTAACACTGATTATTTCCAGATAGTACGACTGTGAGTGGCGTCTGTCCTCTTCGTGCTTGTCTGTTCTCCACTCTGCCGCCCAGGACCAGGTATTCATTTGCTGTACAGTCAATCAGTTAGAGAAACAGAAAGAAACCCTGCATGAAAAGGGTGTTTAGACCAAAGTCCTGGCTGTGAAGCTGTGGCGGCAGATGGCTCCCTCCTGGTGTGGGCCCGAAGTTTAGCCCCTTATTAGCTGTGAAACGTCTGCCCGGCTCATTTCCACAGGCAGCAGTGGGAGGCTCTGGTCCACTGAGTCAGGAGCGGCAGGGAGAGCCAAGTGAAGGCAGGTCACCCCTACCGGCAGCCTCCGATTCACCTCGGCACCCCCAGCAGGTGCAGTATGCCTTTTCTTAATTGAGGTACAGTTGACTTACACTGTCTCAGGTGTACGGCAAAGTGACTCAGTTATACGTAGATATATTCTCTTTCAGGTTTTTCCATTGTAGGTTATTACAAGGTACTGAAAATAGTTCTCTGTGCTCTACAGGGGGTCCCTGTTTATCTATTTTATATGTAGTAGTGTGTACCTGCTATCTATGCCTGTTTATTTACTATAACCCCGATGCTTTGATACCTGGGGCTTGCTGACCTGGAAAGGCAGCCCCACCCCCAGGGCCAGCCAATCCCTGGAGACAGTAAAGGCTAGGGCGAGACTTGCACATGCAGACTAACTCATCCAGAGCCCACACCCCAACACCTTCTCTGTGGAGGTCCCCTGCTCCAGGCCACTCTCCACCTGCCCTGGTCACCCAGGTACCAGACGACTGGAGACTGCCCTAGGGCCCAGAGCCCGCTGGAGTTATTCAAACCAGCCGCTCCGAAGGTGCTACCCTGCCCTGCCTTCGCCTTTCCTGGAGAATCTACAGCAAAGACTCTTGCCCACATTTCCCTCCAGCCCCCTCTGCCTCCTGATGATCCTGGTGCTTCCCCACATGGCCCTGTGTGGCCCCACCTCTCGGGAACTGTGAGTAACAAACTATCTTTTCAGCTGTTGACCTCACTATCGCTGAGTAACAAGGAGACCTTCATTTACAACAGCAGGTGGAGGAATTCCCTGGCGGTCCAGGGGTTAGGACTCGGCACACCCACTGCCAGGGCCTGGGTTCAATCCCTGGTCAGGGAACTAAGATCCCACAAGTCTCGTGGAAAGAAAGAGAAAAAAAGAGGAAAAAAAAGGAAGGAAGGAAAGAAGGAAGGAAGGAAGGAAGGAAGGAAGGGAGAGGGAGGGAGGGGGAGAGAGAGAGAGAGAGAGAGAGAGAGAGAGAGAGAGAGAGAGAGAGGGGGAAAGAGAAAGAGAGATAGAACAGCAGGTGGCACCTCCACTCCGGCAGGTAAAAGACAGGTGAAGGAGTGCGCAGCATCTAGGGGCCTGTGGGCCTCCGGCATCCTTGTCAAGGCTGACAGTCACCTCTGAGATGCCCCCCTGCAGCTCAGGCCGAGGACCACGCCACGCCTGCTCTCTGCTGCTTGCAAGTTGGCAGCGGCCTGAACCTCCAGCCTCCACTGCAGTCATTCCGGAGGCCCAGCCTATCACGGGCAGCCACCAGGCTCCCACTGCCCACCTCCACTCGCCCGGGACACTCACTGCACCACAGTCCGGGGTTCCACGGGGCTCAGGGTGTCATACACAGTGACCAGGTCACTGCCACTTTTGTCACAGGTTGCGACATCGAAGCTGCGGAAGGTGAGGCTCAGTGTGGAGTCAGCGTCCCCCCGCAGGGTCCACTGGCAGCGGGCGTGAGACGGGTAGGGGCTGTCGGGGAAGCCGGGCGTGGTGAAGCGGGTCGGCTCGCTGCCACGGGCGTGCAGGGCAAAGCTGCAGCTGTCTGTGTGGGGCAAGAGGATACGAGGCAGAGCTGGGCAGGGCCACGAGGGGAGCAACCAGGACCCCCGCCTGAGGTGGAGAGGCAGCCAGGCCTGGCCCCTCCGAGGTGTCCCAGGCTGCTCTGGACCCCGGAGAGACTGGGAAGGGGGCTTCTCATGGCCCGGGAGAGGCAGAGGGATGTGCTGGCCATCACCACCCTGTGACTTTGGGGGACCCCCTTGACTGAAGGTGCATCTGGCCACATACCCCCCGCTTCTCCTTTGGGAGGAGGGCGGATACTTACTGTCCTGGGTGCTCTGTACTGTTCTGGGGTCAGTGGCTGAAGAGCAAGAGGGAGAATAAAGCATTTACTGATATGTCCATTTCCTTATTCCTGCTTCCTTACTGCCCTAAAGGGAGGTGCCGGTCAGCAGGCAGTCTCCTCTCCTGGGCACTGGCCCTGGGATGCCCCAGGCCAGACAAATGCCCGCCCCGGCGCCCCTGCACTCACGGAAGGCCACCACTGAGGTCAGCACGAAGGAGCTCACGGCGCGGGCTCGGGGCGGCAGCGTGACCACGTGTTCCTGCGCCATGGCCTGCTCGGCCTCCTGCACCAGGTACTGGGGGATGCTGAACTCCGACCAGTAGTAGGCGATGATGCTGCCCTCGCTGGGGAGAGAGGGGCGAGCCTGAGGTGCCGGGGCCCACGCCCTCCCAGGTGCCCGCTGAAGACGGGGCAGGATTAAGAGCCTCCTGAGGGGCCTCACCAAGAGACTTTCTCCAGGCCGGGCCGGCCCCCAGGCTCTTGTACGCCCACCCACCTGCTGATCCCTTGAGCCCGAGGCCTTTGGGCCTTTTCCTCCCAGCCTCACGCCCAAGCAGACATGCTGTGTTGCGGGGGGCAGTGCAGCTCAGGCTCACGAGCAGGAAGAATCCTGGAATGGAGTCTGGGTTCTACCTCTCGCCTGAGCACACTGAGTCACAGCTTCTTGAGCCTGTTTCCTGAACTTGAAAGGGGCTGACAATGCCACCTGCCACACAGCATCCGTAAGGATTCAATCAGACTAGCAAAAGCAAAAGTACTTTGGAGATAAAGTCAGGACAAGGACTGGGGCCTTGGCTCTCTAGGCAGGACCTCGCGGCCTCATCACTCCGCGGGGCCCAGACGCTGCGCCACAGCAGCGCCCTTGCGCCGGCCGTCCAGCACCTACCTGAAGGCGGTCACAGCTGACCCCCTGTAGTAGGGGCCCAGGGCAGGGATCCCGCCGTATAAGAGCTTCAGCTGAGGGGAGAGGAGGAGGCTGGAGGGAGCGCCCGCGACCCCGGCCCCCCCACCCAGGCCACTCCCTCCCTCCAGGTGCCCGGGAGCCCGCATCACACACCAGCCCGGGCAGCTGGGAGCAGAGGGGAGCCTCCCTTCCGCTGGGAGAGGGCGCGCGTGCCAGAGCCGACAGCAGGGCCCGGGCTCTGCCCAGGGATGGGACTCACCGCTTCCTGCACCTTCTTGGCCAGGTTGGCAAACTCAGTGGAGCTGGAGTTCTCGTAGGCATCCACGAAGTTCTCGTTCGTGATCCTCAGGTAGCCATTGAAGACCTTCTGGACACGCACGGACCGGTCTGTGAGAGAACAGTGAAGGACGGTGGTCAGAGGAAGGGACGCACGCCCTCCTGTCCCCACACTGTCACAGCTGCCCTCAGCCACCCCCGGGGGAGCAGACCCCGAGCCCCGTCACCTCCCCGTGGGAGGGGCTCTCCTTCCCCTCCCCGCAAACCGCACCCTCCCTCCCTCCTGCTCACAGCAGGCGGCCCTGGGTGGGCCCCCGGAGGAGGGTCCACTCACACTGAAAGTGCCACACCAGGAGCCCCGCCATGAGGGACAGCAGCAAGAGGCCAGCCAGCACGGCTGCCGGCACCACCCACCGCCGCGGGCCTCCCTTCTCCACCTTCCTGGTGTTGTTGGCTGGCAGGAACTCCACGCCTTCCTCAAAGCCATTCATGTTCTGAACAGAGAAATCAGTGCACTGCCGGTCAGAAACCCCGGCCTCAGCAGCCTCCCAGCCCGGCTCGGGCAGAACCTCTCCACGCTGTCAGGTCCATCCAGGGAGGAAAAGCCAGGAGGAAGGAGCAGTGGCCTCCCCTCCATGCATCCCCAGGCATGTGCTGCTTAAGAATTGTGAGTTTAAATAAAAGGGAAACAGACAGCCCACCCGAACCCACTCATTGAGGCTGTCAGCTACATGAATCATCTTTGACGCAGGAGGATGCCCAGATGTGGGGACAGAGGGCCCAGCGCAGGGCCAGGATTGCCTCGGGCAAGCCGCGCTGTATGCCCTGACCCTAACCCTTGCTCCACCAATGTTTAACCGGCCAAAAGTAAAAAGTCAGTAAACTGGGCAGCTCTGCCGTGCCACTGCAGGACAAGTCACTCTGCTCTGAGCCTGAAGCCTCCCAGTCCAGGACCCCAAGGTGAGCTGAGAAGGCCAGGTCTCTACTGGAATCCACACCCAGGCTCAGACCCAAGAGCATGAAAAACAAACAAAACTTCCAACAAACAGGATGGCAGGGGGTCTCCAGGAAGAGGGGGGCATGAGTACGGGCGGGCAGGTGGGGTGTCTGCAGCATGCGATGACAGGTAGGCAACTTTTCCGCCCTCCAGCACACACTCTATCTGCTGCCCTAAACCCGGGGAGGGGCTGTGCCCTTTCATTCATTTATGATTATTGTTTTTTTTAAATTTTATTGATTTTATTTTTTGCTGTGTTGGGTCTTTGTTGCCGCGCGCGGGCTTGGGGCCACTCTTCGTTGAGGTGCGCAGGCTTCTCACTGCAGTGGCTTCCCTTGTTGCGGAGCACAGGCTCTAGGCGCACGGGCTTCAGTAGTTATGGCACACGGGCTCAGCAGTCATGGCTCACGGGCTCTAGAGCGCAGGCTCGGTAGTTGTGGCGCACAGGCTTAGCTGCTCCACAGCATGTGGGATCTTCTCAGACCAAGGCTCGAACCCGTGTCCCCTGCATTGGCAGGCGGATTCTTAACCACTGCGCCACCAGGGAAGTCCCGGGCTGGGTCCTTTTAGAGTTAACTGCCTCATACCTACCCCAACAGGGTGTGTAATAAAAGCAGTAGCCCCACCCCAAATTCCACAGATGATGTGGCCATTTTTAAGTTTACAGATGTGGCTGTTTTGGTATTAACCTCATAACTGTAAATGATGGGCTCGAACTTCCATTTCATGATTTGTCACATTCAAACATTACCTATTTACTCACTGTTGTGAAAGATTCTCCCCACTCCTGCCACATTTGGATACTCGTTTCTCTAACTTTAGTTTCCTAATTGGTTATATTTGTGACTTTATCTAATATCAAACACAGAAATACATCCCATAGCTAACCCTACCATGGTAATCATATTACAATACATAAATGTATCAAATCAACACGGTGTACATCTTATTATGTCAATTACATCTCAAAAAGAAATAAATGTTTTACAAGAAAATAAAAAACACAGCCCAGAGGCATTTAAAATGTTTCCAAGCTGCTTGTTCTGGAATTTGTCTCCATATTTCTAAATAATATGCCAATACCAGTAACTCTTGATTCATCTATATAAAATATAATCAGCTGACTTCCTATTATGATAGGGTGGATTTCAATGTCCTTCCTTCTCTGTCTCTCACCCATCCTCCCAATAGTTATGGGGCTAAAGTTTAAAAAAAATTATATCCATACTGTATGTTTTCATTATTAGCCTTTGAAAATATTGTTCACTATTGTTTGCTTCTCACTACAACCGAGTTGCTTTTCCTGCTGTGAATATCTTCATTTACTTGGGTTTCTTTTTAACACGTACCCAAGTCATTCCATACAATCTAAGAGCACTGTAATTGTTCTTCTAATCTTCCACATATGAGGTCTGTCAAAGAACCTCTCATTTCACTTTCCTCCTGGGGGTGCTCTGTCGTTTCCCATAGCTGCTGTCTGGGACTTCCTCCACCATCATCCTGGGAAGTTCCTTCAACTCCCTCTTGTGTGTACGGTTTGTCGTTGTTTTGTTTTTGTTTTTGTCTTTTTGGCTGCACCGCACAGCTTGCAGGATCTTAGCTCCCTGACCAGGGATTGAACTCGGGGCCATGGCAGTGAAAGCACCGAGTCCTAATCACTGGACCTCCGGGGAACTCCCAACTCCCTCTGGTGTTAAAACCCCTATTTCCTGGATTCCATGTCTTCATCTCTCTTGGCTTATTTCATTTGGGTGGGACACATACTTCAGTAGTTCCCAGAGAGGGACGTTTCTTGTGACTTCACATGTTTAGAAGGACCTTAATTCTGCACTCATGTTTGTTGATGGTTTGGCTGGGTATAGGACTATAAGTTTCAAATAATTTTCACTTCGAATTTTGAAGGCTCCAATGTTTTCCAGCTTCTAGACGTGCTTTGGAGAAATATGGTAATAGTACAAATCCATTATTTTCTATTCATGATTTGTTATCTTTCTCTGAAAGTCTTGAGTAAATGCTTTGAATTGGGTCTTTAAATTTCACTACACTGAACTCTCCACCTGCCCTCTGAATTTGGAAACTCGTATCTTTCAGTCTGGGGAACTTTCTTGTATTATTTCGTAAATTATGTCCTCCCCTGCATTTTCTCTTTTCTCTTTCTGTAAGTTCTATTATACTGATCCTCTGCTTTACTTATCCATCTTGTTTTGTAATCTGTCTATTGAGTTTTTCACTTCTGCTATCAAAACTTTCATTTCCAAGAGTTCTTTCTTATTTTATGAATTTTGGAGGCAAAATCTTCTCATCCTGATATTTCTGTTGAGTAACTTTCCTCTGTTGTTGACTTTCTCTTCCGTGTTGAAGGCTTTCCTCAAATGCTTGAGGATGTGTGGCTGTTTACTCATATTTAGGAATGAAGTCCTAAAGGTTGTTCAGAAGCTCTGTGGGCATGGCTTGTCCACAGGTGGCTTCACTTTGGGCCACAATTCAGTGGCTAGCAGATATTTTACTGGGCACTCACAACTGCTAGGCTGTGTAGACCCTTTCTATGGGACAGCTTAGTTACTGCAGAGAATAGTTTTCTAATCTTCTGGGTGGGGTGATTTAAACCCAGCCACTACCATTCAGAACATGGGAGAGAAGAGACCTGTGACTGTTTTCCCCTTCACTTCAGGCTTCTGGCACCTGCTGTCCTCAAGTCTGGAGAAACTGATTTCCCATCCCTTATGGGGGACTTATGGGTAGGAGTAGCTTTGTTTGGGATGGAGGTGGGGCTCTGGGGATTTCTAACAATGCCCTTCCCTGTCTCATCTCTATCTTCCATAAATACCTGAGCCCAATTCCTGAGTCTGGCAGAGGATGTTATCAGAGAAATGCTGGAAGAATACTTCCAAGCACCAAAGAGAGGTATGTCTCTTCAAATTGAAAGGGTTCGCTGAATGGTGAGAAAGATAAATGAAAAAGCACACATAACAAAAGATATCATGTTGAAATTTCAGAACACCAATGCTTCAAAGTACATCCCCTATTGCAAGTGACGTGACTGACAAGGGCTTAATTTCCAGAATATACAAAGACACACAGATGGACAACAGGCACACAAAAAGATGCTCAACATCAATAATTATTAGAGAAATGCAAATCAAAACTACAATGAGGTATCACCTCACACCAGTCAGAATAGCCATCATCAGAATGTCTACAAATAGGGCTTCCCTGGTGGTGCAGTGGTTGGGAGTCCGCCTGCCGATGGCAGGGGACGCAGGTTCGTGCCCTGGTCGGGAAAGATCCCACATGCCGTGGAGCGGCTGGGCCTGTGAGCCATGGCTGCTGAGCCTGCACGTCCAGAGCCTGTGCTCCGCAACGGGAGAGGCCACAACAGTGAGAGGCCCACGTACCGCAAAAAAAAAAAAAAAAAAAAGTCTACAAATAATAAATCCTGGAGAGGGTGTGGAGAAAAGGGAACCCTCCTACACTGTTGGTGGGAATGTAAATTGGTGCAGCCACTATGGAGAACAATATGGAGGTTCCTTAAAAAAGTAAAAATAGAGTTGCCATATGATCCTGCAATCCCACTCCTGGGCACATATCTGGAGAAAACCATAATTTGAAAAGATACATGCACCCCAATGTTCATAGCAGCACTATTCACAATAGCCAAGACATGGGAACAACCTAAATGTCCATTGACAGATGAACGGATAAAGAAGGTGTGGTATATTTATACAATGGAATACTACTCAGCCATAAAAAATGAATTGATGTCATTTGCAGCAACACGGATGGACCTAGAGATTATCATACTAAGCGAAGTAAGTCAGAAAGAGAAAGACAAATACCATATGATATCACTTATATGTGGAATATAAAATACGACACATGGGAATTCCTTGGTGGTCCAGCGGTTAGGACTCCACGCTTTCACTGCTGAGGACATGGGTTCAATCCCCGGTCGGGGAAGTAAGATCCCGCAAGCCACAAGTCGCGGCCAAAAAATAAATAAATAAATAAATTAGAATACGACACAAATGAACTTATCTACAAAACAGAAACAGACTCAGACATAGAGAACAGACTTGTGGTTGCCAAGATGGGTGGGGGGAGGGAGCAGGGGAGGGTTGGACTGGGAGTTTGGAATTAGCAGATGCAAACTAGTAGATATAGGATAGATAAACAAGGTCCTACTGTATAGCACAGGGAACTATATTCAATATTCTGTGATAAACCAGGAAAAGAATATGAAAAAGGATATATATATGTAACTGAGTCACTTTGCTGTATGGCATAAATTAACACAACATTATAAATCAACTCTACTCCAATAAAGTAAATGTTTTTAAAGGAGTACATCCTCTGCTTGCCTATCTGGCTTTTTCCCCCTCTCTCACATTTTACATTTCTTTGTCATTTAGTTCTATTTTGGGATTTAAAAAAAAAATTTTCTCTCATAAACCTTCTATGGAATTTTTAAAATAGTTTCACTGAGGTACAACTGACATA